ATATATATATATATATATATATAAATTTAAAATGAATTGGATCACACGAATTTTATTTTATTAAATCAGTGAAAAAAATTGTCTTCATCAAGTTCTATTTCAAAATTGATAATTTAAATCTTGAAAGAAAAGAATTGAAAAAATATCTTTTTTTATGTAAAAGGAATAAGGAAGTTTAATGGAAAAAGTTCAGTAATCAATTTAATATTTGGATATTTGATAATTAACTATATTAATTAATTCATTAACATGTTATGATATGTTATGACTAATTACATATTATAATACATATATCCTTTTCTTATAGACACCTACTGGATATACACCAGAACAATGGGCAGCAGCACAACAGCAAGGCTGGGCTCAGTGGCAGCAATGGCAACAACAATATCAGCAATGGCAGGCACAATATGGCGACAAGGTATAATATAAAAATATATAATTAATATAATTTATATAAATACATAATTTATAAAAATAAACATTGTAAAAATAAATGGCAAAGCTGGAATTATAAATTTGCATTATTAAATTGATAGTTAATTGCTTATACATATATATATATATATATATATAGATAGTGATCATTATATATTTACGGACTTATAACATATTTCAATAAAATTTGGTCTTTCTATTTATTTTTTATGCAAAATAACGTAAAAGAAAACACAAATGTATATATTATTGTCATTTTATCATTGTCATCTTTATCCATTTTTCAAAATGATTTATTGTAATATCGCAAAAGTTTCAATAATTTATATACTAAATATTTAATATTTGTCGAAAGAATAATAGAGTTTTTCAACATATTAATTTTTAATAATAAAAAAATTATTTCAGTATCAGGATATGAAGCATTTATCAGCGCAGGGTATGAATTTAACTGGTCAGATGCAAGTGCCATCAAATATGCAACCACCGCCTCTTCCTAAAGAGGAGACACGACCTCCCTTGCCTCCTGCTACCACAAATACATATCAATTTGCAAACATGCCACCTCCGCACCAAAATAATCTTCCATTATTCCCTTCAAAAGAATCTGCTAATAAGATAACATCGCAAGCAAATGTGACAAATTATCCTACAAACCCACCGTTGCCTACTACGAGTCAACCACCTTTACCACCCGAAAGCGGTGAGAATAAAGAGATTTCCTCTGAAAAAAGCAATAGTAATGTAATTAGTGGAACCAATAGTGCTAAAAAACTAAACTTTGAAGATGAAGAATTGACCGAAACTGAGAAAACATTTGATGCACAGTTCAAACAGTGGGAAGAACAGTTTAATCTCTGGAAACAGCAAAATGCCAATCATCCAGACAAGGTAAGTGGTATTATTTTTAATATACATAGCTTATTATGAAATATTACACAAATATTAAAGAATAATTATTTATATTAGAAGACACATTTTCGATTAATTTAATTTTGATGTTTATTAGAAAAATAAAAAGATATTAAAGGATTTTTATTTTATTTCTAATTTTATTCTAATTTATTTCTTCACAAGTTTCTGATATATAATTATGCATATAATATTACATTGAAAAATTAATTTTTTATTTATATTATTATTATGTCTTTAATTATATTCAAAAAATATATTTATTAGTTTTAAATAAGACATCTTTATAATAAACATCTTTATTTTTATAATATATATTAATATAATATTAAAAATTCTATATAATTATAAAATTTTATACATGCACATTAGAGTAATATAATTATCGAAATTGTGTCTAATTTAATGTAAATATTTAATATTGTATTTTATATGAAAATTAAATTAACAAATTAAATTAATCTACAAATTTCAGACTCAGTATAAACAATACGAAGCAAAGTGGACATCGTGGCGTGAAAAGTTACTTGAACGACGCGAACAAATGCGTAAAAAACGTGAACAACAAAAACAAGCTGCTGCGAAAGCAGAAGCTGAAAAAAACAAGAATATACCTGGCGATGATAAAATATTGAACATCTTATCAAACACTGAAAATGCGCGATTAATTAACAATCTGTTAGGTATCGGGAAAACTTTGGGTCTGACAGCAAAGCAAAACGTTTCCACATCCTTACTGCCTCCGCCACCACCGCCTCCACCACTGCCAGAAAATACAAATTCTAAGAATGAACCCATGATACAAGGAATGCAGCAAACTTCACAAATAAATATGATTAGATCCAATCCCACAATGCCAAATTGGTCTAATCAGCAACAATGGGGACATCAACAATACAATCCCAGAATGGAAGGTCCAGGATATGCTACCGGGATGCCCCCGATGATGCCTCCAATTTCAACATCGGATACTGGATCATCCCAAATGATGTCGAATTTTACACAGCCACCGAGTCTACCAAATTTTTCACAACCTCCACCAAACTTCCTTAGTAATGATCGAATGCAAAATGTAAGAGCATCGGGTCCAACAAATATGAAAGATTGTCCTCCTCCACTTGCTAATTCTTCAAATACAGATGTGCGTTTTATGCATCCAAATGATCGACCACCTCTCAATTTTGATGGACAAACCAATTTCAGAAGAGGCGACCAAGAACGTTTTGGACGAGATAATACTAATCCAAATTTATATGAAAAAGATCAATTTAAATCTACTGATACTTTTGACAAAGAAGAACAAAATTTTAAAAGAGGCGACAAAAATTATACTGACTTTGGGAATAATCAATTAAATTCGCAAAATAATTTTAATTCAAATAATGATAAGTTTGGACCAGGACAGAGTGGGCCCGGAAATGACCGTTTTGGATCGGGAAATGATCGTTTTAACAGAGAAAACAATCAATTTGGATCAATGGGAAATGACAGATTTGCATTGGGAGGCGATCGTTTCGGATCAAATAATAATTTTGGTCCAGGATCTGATCGGTTTAGCAATGAGTGGTTTGGAAAGGAAGGTGATCGATTTAGACCTGGGAATGATCGTCTTGAAATGGACAAAGATCACCGCGGATCTGGAAACGATAGATTTTCGGATAATGAGCGATTTGGATTAAATAATGAACAACATGTTCCTGGATTAGCAACTGATCGTTTCGAGTCTAAAAATCGTTTCTTCTCTAGCAATGATCGATTTGGACCCAACAATGAGCTCTTTCGTCCAAATGATCGATTTAATAGAGGTAACACGGATTATTTTGATTCGAAAGATTCAACTGATCATAGACGAGATAGTTTTAATACTAATCTTCGAGGATTTAATAGAAATTCATCATTTAGTCCATCGAACGAATTATCGCCAGAACTGAAAAAACTTATGGAGAAACGAAAAGCAGCAGGGGATGTATTTAGGCCTAGTTTTGTTGATTCTGATAAGTCCACTGGTATCGGTTCTCTTAGTGAGAGTTTTAAAAAAATTACTGGTGACTCACCGTTTAAAAGCTCTTTTGATTTTCAAAAGAATCCATTAAATCGTGGTGGATTGACAAGTAGCGGACCAAATTTTCAATCACATTCTTCTTCTGATTCGGGACAGATTTCCACATCATCTTATGGGCCACGAGATCATCTTTTCAGTCGTGATAATGCACCTCCTTTTAGAGGACCTTTAGATAATTTTACTAAACATAATCCTACTGATTACAATGATCGAGGAAAAGATATGGAGATCAGGTCGCATCTCAATCAATCTCAAGATACTATTAGGCATTCCGAAAAAGTTGAAATTACTGAGTCTGATTCTTTACTACAAACTAATAATATTGCTGACACAAAAGGTACCGAAATCATGCAAATAAATGAAGCTAATAATTCTATGACACAAAAAGAAAACGTTACTTTTGAAAATAGTTTGAAAGATGATAATAAAGAAGAAAATAAAATTATTGGTAGTGATAATTCAATGCAGCACGATAAAGAACATGATCATATCCAAGAGCATAATCAAACCCAAAGTAATGTTGAAAAGACAAATGAATCTAATAATAATGACGACGTTATTAAAAAGCCTGAAAGCTTACCCTTTATGGGTGAAAATGATGTACGACCAGTGGATTTAAACATTGAACCACCACCAGAACTACCCAATTTATGTCCTATTTCTACGGATTCTAGTCAAAATGAACCGAACAATGTAAACAAAGATTTTGACAGAAAAGGACCAGCTGATAATCAATTTGATATGCATTTTAATTCTAATTTTGGTCCCAAAGGAATAGAATTTAAATCTGGTATGTCTCGGGGATCGCCAATGTTTGGTTCTAAAGATCCTCATATGTTTTCATCCGGTTCTTCTCCTGGTACATTTTTGCAAGGTTCTGTAAATTTACAATTAGGTCCACGAGGTTCCAGAGATAGTCAATTTGGATCTAGTATGAATGAAAATAGATTTAGTCCCAGAAAATTCAACGATGAACAATATGGCGATCGAGATTGTAATGATAAATTACTTGAACCTCTTAACAGCGAGAAATTTGAACCACGTGGTTCTATGGATGATCAACTTGGTCTATTTGGATCTCGAGCACCAATAAATGCAAAATTCGGTCCGAGAGGATCTATTGATCGACCAAGAGATCCATTTGATTCATCATTTGCTCCGCGACATCTTGGTCCATTTGGTCCCAGAGGCCCTATGCAGTTCGGTCCTAAAGGTATTAATGATCGTTTGGATTCCCGACTAAATTTCGAGAGATCATTTGGTCCGCGAGGACCTAACGATAGATCTTTTGGTCCAAGAGGACCTAATGATACATTTTTCGGTGTCAACCGTTCTTCTGACTCACAGTTTGGCCCTACGGGGCTTAATAAGTTTGATAGAATGAATGAGATGACACCATTTGATAAAAGACCTTTTGATAACAGTGGGCTCTTTAGTTTATCTGATGAAAAAACCATTGATTTTCGACCCAATGAAAGTTCTATTGGTCCTCGTGGTGGTTCTAATGAATCCATTCCACTTGGTCTTCGCGATTCAAATGAGGTTCTTCAACGTAACTCAAAGAATTTCAACGAAAATCGATTTGAATCTCGAGATTCTAACAATGAACTTTTTGGACCATCGGATTTCAAAGCAAAAGATTCAATAAATGATTCAACTAATATAAATTTTCCATCTTTGCATAATCGCAACGATTATATGCGTAGAAACTCTTTCACTAGAAAAGAACAATTTGAAGAGAATATTTTTGCTAAACGAGCCAGATATGAAAACCCACAATCAATTGATGAATTCAACAAGAACTGTCCGGACATAGAAATGCGAAAAGAGAATGTCAATGTTGGATGTATACCTGAGCTTAATAAAAAAGAATTAGAAACTTTACCTCGTTCAGAATACGAATCTAACGATGCTTGGAAGAACAAGTTCGGCAGTGATCAGAAGTCCAATGCAGGGCAACATAACGTTGACAAAAATTTCTCAAATACTTTCGATGAAAGATCAAAGTCGGGAAGAATCGCAACCGAACTAAAGGTGGATGATTATAAGTCACAATATGGTGAATCTACGATTGTATCCGATTTCCAATCAAGATATGTCCCTAATTTATTTATGAAGCAGAAAAGTGATCAAGAATTTTGCGCGCAGAAGCAGTTTAATTATAATCATGGTGATAAGAAATTCATCGAGTCGGTTAACTTCACTCCAGCGAAGGTGATTGATTACGGACACGTGTCTCGCCCCTCGATTTCGGATCATCTGTCGCCGGTTCAGTGTTTCGATTACGGTCATGGAGATTTAAAACCGACAGTGGATCGCGAGCAACTACAGCGTCATTATCCGAAGAGAGATTTTAGAAATTGGGTGGAAAACGAACAGAATCTAAAGGAATATACTGAGAAGATGAGCAACTATGAAAGTACGAAGAGATATGTCGGAAAGACGAAGAATTACAATTACGCGACAAATTACGATGCGCGTAAATCGATGGACTATAATAAACAAAGAGACTACGACTGGCAGTCAAATAATAAGAAATCCGATGGAGAGAAAAAGGAGAATGACAATAAAGAGAAAGACTATAATCCTGAATCAGACTCTCACACCTTTGATCGAAATACTGATAATGATCAGAACGATCAATTTGATAAAAACATACATAAAGGTAATATACCTATTATACTTATTCTAAAAATAAAATTATTTTTCTTTTACATAACAAGAAATGCATTCAGGGAACACAAATGAGTGAGCGCTCAGTAATTGTCTATGATTGAAATGAATTTTTAAATTTGTGTTGAATTTGAAAAATATACTAAAAATAGCGAGCGTTTATTTAATGGTTGCACAACTAAGGTTGTGTTTTCTATATGTAATCAATGGGATCTCATTTATATATTTATAAAAATTATTTTGAATCTAATTTTACCATTTGATAACTGTAGAATAAGTCCATTTTGATAACTGTAGAATAAGTCATAATATTGTTGCGTCCATTAGATTCGCTCGCAGACATTTTTGCGGTTGTAAAAAGCAAGACTTTAAAAAGAAACGCTAGTCTTTATTGCATTTAATTACAATAGAAAAGAATTTGAGAACGACTTTCAAGCGCATTTGCTTTCCATCTTCAAGCGCATTTGCTTTCCATCTTCTCTTTATTCTTCGGATATAGGGAATAACAAATGAGCGCGTGATATCTCCGCTCAATTACATTTAAATATTTTTGAGTAATTAGTATAATTCTTTATGAAAATAAACTAAGAATTGTCAAAGATTTATTATGCTATGATATAAAATATTTTTAAACGTGTTTTTCTAATTCACATTCTAATTTAGTTTTATACGGCATAATATTGTTGTTTGCAAATTGTAAATTACATTAAAATATTAAGATGAATAATTTATACTTATGTTTTTTATTGTGCCTATTGTTTCTCAGATGTGGAACAAGTTGAAGACATGCATGATAGCTCCCAAAAGGAAATGAATAAAGATAATGATAAAGATGATAACAGGTATTATGAAAACATTTTATTTAATTTTTTTACGATAAAAATAATTATGTTAACTGAAATTTAACTGGAGTTTGAATACGTAACTGTGTGAATATGACATTTTCTTTAGATCTAAAGGAAATGCTAGCTGGCAGGAGAATTCAAACAAGAACGTTGTAGACATAAAGCTACAGGAGACCAGGTATGTTAATATTATTTTTTTAATTTATTACAAAAGCTTTAATTTGAATTTAATCAAATATTTGAGCGAAAGAAAACATTAATTTTGAACATATTAAATAACGATTAGAAATGTAAAATTTAATAAAAATATAATATTTTCAATAAATGTTTTTATAAAAAGAAATACTTTTCTCGAAAATTATATTAAAAATTATATTAATTAATTAAATATTAAAATTATATTAATATTTACATTACGTATCTTTATTATACATAAATTTAAATTGTTAATTCAGAAGTATAGTCCCGATTCATATAAGATTTAAAAATTTAGAAAATACAATAGAAAATTTTATATTTTTGAAATTAAGTTTTTAGTGATATATTTTTCAAAAAGATATATCAAAAAGGATATATTTTCTTTTTCAAATATATCTTTTTGTTAAATTCATTTTACTAACCATTTGATTCCAAATTAATGTCCTATAAATTGGACTATGTTTAATATGCATCATTTACAACTGTGTGCGATAATTTAATATTTATGTTGACATATTTGACATTATAATTATATTCTGCTATATATAGATTTTGCGCATATGCATTTGTGCATTTGCTGCAACACGATTTATAATATATTTATCTAAAGTTTGACTGAAAAGATTTATGTAGTAATTTTTAAGATATCCATAGTTTTATAAGCTATTTTATGTTCTACGATGTTTTATAATTTGTTCAGAAAAATATCTGAATATTCGGATTAAATTTAGAAAGCCGAATAATTATTTTATGTAATTCGGATATCCGAATGTCTTTATAAAATCTGGATCACGTTTATAGTCTTCTGATGTAACAGATATATCAAATTTAATATATCTGTATTATAGTCAGATTAATGTTTTAATTATTATGCATAGCTATTGAACTATGCATAATAATCGATAAAATTTATTCTACAAATTTACCAGTTATTTTTCATAATTTCTACTTATATATATCTTATATATAAATACTACATATGAAAAATAATTTAATGAATGAATTTTACATTTTACTATAACAATCTTTTGGCGGACAAAGCTGTAAGATATGCTCCTATAAGCACAAATTTATCTGAAACAAATATTTGTCCCAAGTTCTTATTGTTACTTTTAAGATGTATATTATGTATTATTTTATTACTTACTGTAGAATTAATCATGATTCTACGTCTACAGTTATAATTTTAGTATAAATCTGATCACAATGAATTTCTTACATTTTTATCTCTGATAAATTAATCTTTTTTATGGAATTAATCTGTGTGTGTTTACAATGTATTTAAAAAATTTTTACTCTTGGAGAGAACAAAAGAGGGAGGGAGAAAGAAAGAAAATATGCAATTTTACTATCTATAATGAACATCTAAATTCTATTTTTGATGCACAAAGTTTTTTATATTATATAAATGGTATTTATAACAAGTTTTTATTGTTTTCATAGATGTTTGTCATTTTACTATACATAACGAACATTTTACTCTTACAGGATGATATTTATATATTTATAGATTTATCTATAGTATCTTTTAATTTAACATATTTATCAATCTATTCGCAATATGTTCTTCATGATTTTTTTTTTTTTTAAGAAAAGGAGATAGATGCCTTTGCTCCCTTCCTTGGGTTATATGGCATTTCTTTATATTACATCTGATAAATTGAAAATTTAACAAATGATATTTGTATCAAATTTTGTCATTATTAATATATAATATGATATCTAATATTCTTTTACATACAGCAACGATCTATTTATATGAAATAATTTTCTTTCAATATTCGATACATTTGCAGATTTATTTCTAAAACTAGTTATATAATTAATTAAGATCTAGTTATAAACATTTAGTGAAAAATGCGGTTATATTTGCAAATTATTTCAAATTGTCATGTATATGCAACTTGAAACTACGTTTCTGAAAAAAGATTTAAATGATATAAAATATATTTGCATTTTTCTGCACTTATTATTACAAAAATTACTATTCTTTACAAAATTGATAAATTTATTCTTTTATTGATTTATGCGAAAAAAAATGAATAATAATTTTTTTATCAATCTGTTATAATCATTTATAAAAGTACATAGTTTTGTTTTTATTTTACTAAGATAGATATTTCTTTCTTATAGCCTGCCTTCTGATACAAAGAAAAATGCGGAATCAAGTACAAAAACTTTGGAATTGGCAAAAATGCCAAACTGTACGATGGTCGATGACTTATTGTGCCCACCGGGTCGTCAGAACAGACCACCAAAAATAGCTATCATCCTCAGAGGCCCGCCTGGTAGCGGCAAATCTTTTGTGACTAAACTTATCAAGGTATATTAGTAATGCTATCTATCTATCTATATATATATATATATATATATATATATTAACATTGTCAGTAAATTATTATCTATGTTATAATCATTAATATATTTTAATTCTAAATAATTTATGTTATATAATTTGAATTATTATTTCCATGTCATATATAATATATGATGGAATTAAAAAATATGTATATATATATATATATATATTCTATGTATGAAGAATGAAATGTATGAAGATATACTTAATTTATTACAATGCTTTCTTATGTAGGATAAAGAAGTCGAGCAAGGTGGCTCTGCACCGAGAATATTGAGTTTAGATGATTATTTCCTTGTCGAAAAGGAAAAAGAAACTAAGGATGATAATGGAAAGAAAGTCATAGTTAAGGTATCATATTTGTGATATAAAATAAGCTTTGATTATATACATATGACAATTATTTTTAATTAGAAATAAGACGATAATAACCTAATAATATTTTTATATATTAAATACATCGCATTTATATAGATTTTATTTGTAATAGGAAATGGTATATGAATACGAAGAGGCTATGGAACAGAGTTACGTGACATCTCTCGTTAAAGCTTTTAAGAAAAACATTACAGATGGATTCTTTAATTTTATCATATTAGATTGCATTAATGAAAAGATTTCAGATTATGAAGAAATGTGGAGTTTTGCCAAAACAAAAGGTTTTAAAGTAAGTTAAATTTAATAAAGTTACAAGAGATATCCTCGTTATTAATTTTTCGATTTGCAATCGATCTTTTTTCAACAATAAATATTTTAAACCTGCAAAGATTATATAAATCTTAAAATATTCTAGAAAGAATTGATATAAAAATTTCAATTTTTTTAGACATTAATATATCTTAATTAATAACATTTAGACATTGATATATCTTAATTAATAATTTTTTTCTAATGAAGTATGATATTATCTGTATATAGGTATATGTGTGTGAAATGGAAATGGATCTGCAAATATGCTTGAAAAGAAATATTCACAATCGTACCGAAGATGAAATTAATCGGATTATAGATTATTTTGAACCAACGCCTAGCTATCATCAGAAATTAGATGTAAATTCGATGTTGCAAGAGCAAGCAATAGAGGAGGTATTTTATTTGTTTTTCTCAAAGAGAGTAAATAGATGTGATAATTTAATTAATTTGTTAAAAATATGCTTTAAGATCATATTAAGTTAATTTTGAGTAATATCTATATTTAGTGATATAATCGATATAATATTGATATTGCCGAAAAATTACATATATACCAGTATGAAAATTCAATTATAATTGTTTGATGTCAATATTAGTATTTGATGTCAATATTAAAAGTTTTCAAATTATTAGTATTAAAATAATAAAGATATTTACAATAGTAGTATTACTAGCAAAATGATTTCAGTATTTAATTTTCTTGTTTCGGTATAGTACATAAATTAATACAAATATTGTAAGACATGCTATTCTTTTATTGCAGAATATATAAATCTGTAAATCGTATTGTCACATATAATATAATCACATATATATTTCTATTGCAGGTGGATATGGAAGACAGTCAAGAAACGCATGAAAAACCTATCACACAAACTGAAGATAGTCAAGACAGTCAGGAGGATACGCAGGATGCAATTGTAATTAAACAAGATGCTTAAAAATATACTTATTTTTTGCATTATTGAGCAATATTTTAAAAATAATTTTATAATAATTTGATATGAATATAATTGTTTTCAGGGTGTTAGTAAATGGGAAAAAATGGAAGCTGAGGATAAATTAGGTTAGCTAATTTACGTTAATTTATATGATAGATTATTATACATTTATATTTTGTACATATTTCTTATATTTAAAAACATATTCTAATTTTCTTTAATGAATCTAATTAAAGACAATAGAAAAATTTGCAAGTACAGATGTCACGCGCAAAATGACTCAAAACTTATTTATAATTAAATTTTTAAGAAAACCTAAATAAAAGTTAATTAAATTAGTTTCATTTAGAAACTATTAAAAATATATAAGAAATTCTCTTAAAAAATATTAAAATATAATTGCATTATCGCAAGGACACCTATGCTTATAAATTTGGATTGATCTTGATTTTTTCTACAGTTTTCTGTAAATAAGTTATTTATTTTAATTTTTTTTTTTTTTTTAATGAAATAAATCAGATCGATTGGATGGTTTGGCAAAAAGGAAAAATGATTCAAAACCGCAAACTATGGAAGATTTCCTTCAAGTTCCTGATTATTATAATATGGAAGATACTTCTGGTAAAAAACGAGTATGTATTTTTATTATTAAAATATCATTAATAATTATAACCTCTGAATTACAATTTTTAGCTAATTCATAACAAAGATTTTATTATTGCATTCTTTCTTTTAATGTTACACAAATTTGCAACCAAAGTATAAATTAAAATTTTATTAATGTCTAATTCAATCGATTAAAATATATAATATTTATTTTTGAAGTTATACAAATTTTTATTTTTTATATAATTCAATATGATTTCAATGAAAAGTTATAATTTCAAATATAATTGTTTAATAAATAAAGAAATCTTGAAACATGTATATTTTTCGTTACAGGTACGTTGGGCCGATTTAGAAGAACGTAAAGAGCAGGAAAAAATGCGTGCTGTCGGATTTGTTGTTGGACACACTAATTGGGATCGAATGATGGATCCTACGAAAGGAAGCAGCGCCTTAACACGCACAAAGTACATATGATTAAAATTTATTTCTAGAGTTTGTAATCAACGATAAGAATAAAATAAGCCATAAAGTATATTATTTACTTTTTGTTTCATGAGTTTCTTTTTCACGTTTTTACCTACTTTTTTAGAGAAATTCAGATCTCGGTTTAACCTAAACAAAATTTATATTTGCGTGTTCTATGTTACTATTATCCAATTGTAAATTTGTAAAATATAGAAAATGTAGAGGTAAATCTGAGTATAGTATATAAAGTGCATTCTATTTAGCGCTTGCAATATTTCAGAATTATATCTTTGTTTTTAATCGAATATTAAACAAGGACAAAAGATGCTGACAAATATTGAGTGTCAAATAGAATGTACTTATATATTTACAAGATTATAATAATCATCTATAATTTATTATCATTTATATTTGTTCTCTTGCAATATATTGCATTTAATAAAATATAATAAAAAATTGTACTTGAAGAAAAAACGTCGCAATTAATTTTGTTAGTAATGTAGCTGTGTACTTTATATCGCGTTACTCATTGTATTATATGAATATATAACTATTATTTATATAATTATTATTACAGGTTTTTTATGCTGTCATAGAAAAATTAATAATTTAATACGAGCATTAAAATTGAAGCGCAACATTCAACTCATTGAAAACACCTTATTATTTTGTGTTCAAAGTATTGCAGTATGTAAAACAAATTAATTATAAATATAGATTATTAAAGTTTAATTTAGATTTAAAATTATAAAATTATTATAAGTTATAAAATAGTTATAAAAATAATGGAAAATAATATTATAGGTTTAATGCATTCAAATAAAATTATACATCTTGAGATATGATAGGGAATAGCAATTAAGAATCAGTTATAAATGGTGCATAATTAACACTTTTTATTACAAAACGTTTCGACTCAAGTTTGAGTCATTTTCGTGAATTATCCTGTACTCTTGTGTGTTTTTTCTATTTTTAATGTGAACTGTGTTCATCTGGTGATCTGGACAGCCATTCAGTGATTACTTTTTCGTTATATTTAACAGAAAAGATGACAGATATATGTATTGTCAGAATAATAATTATTAATCAGCGATTTCAATTGACGAAGCGATTTTGATTGACAGTGATATAATATATAATTATCTATTATAATTAATATATATTATTATAATATATAATATATATTATATATAATAATATATATTAATTCTTGTGGTTGGGCTCATCGAATGGACTCAGTGTTATATTTATACTTTCTTATATCACTGAAGATGACTCAAATTTGAATCAAAACGTTTGGAATTTTGTAATAAAAAGTGAATTTTTGTAATAAAGTGTTAATTGCGCACCATTTACAGCGCTGATTCTTAATTGTCCTATTATTTCCCAGTGTTATAACACTAAGAATCACTCTTGTTAATATTATAAATCTTGTATATAAAGTGATAAATTTGCATTATAAAGATTTTGTACATATAAAAAAATATAATAAAAGATATGTATCTGATTGAGATAAATGAAATAATAATAAAATATATAGCGTGTAATAACTTTTAATAACATTTTCTCTGTATTGATATTCTAATTTTTCGGTTTTTCTCTATTTATCGCTGTTTTATCACTGTTTTGGCAATAACATGAACAAAAGAAAGAATAAATTTTATAGGGCTTACTTTTTATTTGTTTCATTTTTTTCCGCAGTCGAAGAAATATAATCAGGTAAAATATTGCATATTAACTTAATGTGTTTTCTAATATCACACAACCAAATATGATTGTATATTGAGTATCTCTCTTTCTCTCTCAATGTCTCTTTTTCAATAATGAATCACTTTGTTGTTTAAAACAATGATAACTATCTTGTACACATAAAAGATTAAATTGACTTACACGGATAGAACGCATCCTATATAATACTCTTAATTATGAGACATGTGTATATATATATACACATACACACATTGCATTTTATTTCATAATATCGAAATGGAATAATATTAATTTTTTTTTCTTTTTTTTCTAATATATATTTCTAGTATATATTTTTTTCTAATATAATTAATTTTCCTTTATATGTTTACTATACATTTAAAAAAAAAATTATACAATCCCATATGAAAGAAATCACGCTGCATTTTAAAATAATTTTTTTCAATATAATACATATATTTTGTTATATATATATATATACAAAAGAATTTGTTACATAAAATTTTCGTCTCATATATATATATATATATAGGGCATGCGATAGTGAATTTCTCAAGATTATTTTAACCCTTAATCCGTCCTCGGGTATTTTTGTATTAAATTTTTATATTAAATTAATAGATTCTTTAATATATCGCACATGTCTAGCTGTTACAATAAATTAATATTAACAGTAACAAAATAGACTTAGCGTTAATAGCGTCTTTCAGATTTGGAAATTGTAAAACAATAATAAATGTTGTATAAGAAAATATATATTTCTTTTATACACATAATAAAATTGGTATTTATCTATATAAAAATAATTTCTATTCAACAATAAATGTCATTACATAAATAATATTTTTATATAGAATATTATTTCTATACAAATATAAGTATATTTGTTTTTATATAATATAAAAAATATATTTACAAAAAATAAAATAAATAGAATATATTTTATACAACATAAATTATTTTTCAAAACATTTTAATGTTTTCAAGTATACTATCTTATTTATTTATATTTTCATTTAGATTGAATTTAGTGAAATATTTTTATGACCACATAACAATTTCATAATTTGAATCTAATTTTGCCTGTTTTTTTTATACTGATTGTGGAATTATTATAAATGTATTAGATTTTGTGCATGCATTGAGCAATTATAAAATTATGCATCACTATTAAACATTAATATTTATTAATAATTTAGGTATATTCTTATATTTTCATGAATATAAATTGAGAAGGCAATAATATTTTTTGCGAATTAAGGGTTAATATTTTCAATGTGAACTTTTTTCAGGAAATTTAATGAAAGATATTAATATATATTAAGACTCGTCTCTCTCACCGCACCCATATATGACACACGTCGGCTGTGTTCCAAAATTCACTGTCAGTATTGAAAATTTATATTTCACATAATTTATATTCTATCTTATTTTAGCGCTGAGCATCGACAGTACATTTTGGAACATAACTGTCATAAGCAAATGGTACGTACTAATTTCCTTGCAAGAATAAAGAAAAATCTTTTATTTTTTTAGTTCTTTTAAAAAACATAATTTTGTGATCTTGAAACTTGTAAAATATACAGGAAACTGAGAATCTGTCAACCCATATAGCACAAACTTTGCATATTGAGCAACATTGTTACAATATTATAGCAATGTTGCTGCAATATAACTACAAAGTTTGAGCTGTATAGTAAGTGGCTAGCTGAGTATAACTGAAGAAATGACCCATTAATACAGAAATTATTTTATACTTCTATGTAACAGACAAATGTCTCACTTTTCCGCACATTTTACAGGTTTCAGGATTACAAAATTTTTTTAAAGAAAAAAACATACATCGTGAGAAAATTACTGCACATCAATTCTCACCTATGATAAAACCTATTATAAAACGATGAATGACTACTCGAGAAAGCCAAGCTTTAAAAATTAACATAATTGTAACATAAATTTATAATTTTGAATATAGACAATTTGTATGTGAAGTGTTATCTTACAATTAATTAAAAATTAATATATTACGAATATGTAATTTTATGATTAGAGATCATTGAATTATTGAATAATTTAATAATTGTATAGTTCTTAGACCTTCGGATTATATTCAACATAATTTTATATATTAATTTTTTTTTATACTAATTATATAAATTTGGTGATGAGCTAAAAAAATATATTTCACAAAAATCGCACTTTTCCTGGAATATATTGCGAATGTTAAAAATTAATAAACATTCCCGGTAATCATTAACATACATTTTTCAGCTTTTACATAAAGAGTTCTCGTATTTTCGACACTTTCACTTCATTCTGCATAATTCTTAACACAAATTTAATATACTTGTGGTCCATCCTGTATACAATCTACATATACATATATGCGCAATTTACAAGGTGTGTATGTGCGCGCGCGCGCGCGCGCGCGTGTGTGTGTGTGTGTGTGTGTGTGTGGTGGTGAGTGGCGCGCGCGCGCGCGTGTATGTGTGTTGTATGTGTATACAACTTTATGTACAAACCTGAACTCTTCCGCTTCTAATAACTTGTTAAAGCTACAAATAACAACAGTAAGAGATAAATAATCATTATAATAGATGTGTGTGTACACGAACATCAATGACGAAATTAACGACAAGCGCAGCGAAAAAATCTGCGAAACGGTACACATGCACATATATATATGTATACTTATATACGTATATACACAGGCGCATATACACAGTATATGTGTTTTATTTGCATATATAACACATATACATACATACATACGATATAATTCCTAGTTCAATGAATATTAAGTATTCGCATAAACGAATCAGCGTGCTCTTTATATATGTACATATGAAAATCGCGAAATTTCGCATCGCGATTATATGGCTTTAAATTTCAGCTTATTGTCGAAGCTTGGTTCGCAATAACATTACATTTTTAACGATTAATATGTATTTCGTTTAGTTTTGTATTTTGACGATGGGCAAACTCCAGAACTAAGATCATAAATTTGTTTGGGCAAAATTATTTTACATTATATAAGGTAATGTAAATAATTTTTAAAACAGCATACAATGGCTTAATTAGAACAATAATATTTTTGAAGTGAAAGAAATTAAATAAATCATTATTAATGATATAAACGAATTAATGCTATCCGAAAGAATAACACATTTTATTCCTTTTGTTTCTAAATAACATAACATTTTCTAATATTTTAAGCATAAGAATTGACATTCGTTATTTCAATCCTGGAGTATCAGTATTATTAGAAAAGTGAATCAGCAAAAAATAATATAGAATTAATTTATTTAATGTTGAATTTCATTTAGGAGTTATCTCGTTGCCGAGGTCCAAACATATATGCAAAATTAAGAGAATTCACTGCGTGGTAAGTGATGGAGACGATAAAAAAGAAATAATCTCAAGTGGCAGAGGAAACAAAAGGTCTAATGTTTCTTCTCTCTCGTCTCATTATATTCACAAACAATACTATTGTGTAAACTATGGTGGATACATTTTTCGATATGCCAAGGTATGTTCAAAAGGACAATATTTTATTAATATAAACATATTTCTTTATTTATCGCGTGTGAATTAACAAATATCCAAAAACTATAGAATTACTACCTGCAATATTTTGCTATGTTGCCGACAATAATTGTCATAACAAGCTATCCGGTTTGGAATATAGCTTTAATTGTTTCATAATATACGTACCTACAGACTCACAAGATATAATTGTTTTATGAATCTATAAGTGATTAATATTAATCATTTATCATTGATAATTTACGATAATATTTGACAGTTATATTTTTGACGCATATAATTGTCCTAAAAAGTCATTACTATAATGTATATTTAGAAGTCATATATGAATCGTTTATCAATTATTGCCATCAGTAATCAGAAGATGCAAAGCTGGCAATAATTATAAGTTGTTACATTGCAGAGCGTAGCTTGTATTGATGTATTGTACATTATAAAATTTGGCCAATTTAAAAGGACAAAAATATTTAATTTGACTGCATACAAATTGCTCATAAATTGAATATAGTATTCATTTGATATATTAATTTTATTATTAAATATTTTAGAACTTCTCAACTAAATTTATGTCTTTATATAGATTATTTATAAATTATATTGCTTTATTTAATTATTACCTATCCAATCAATGTTATGTTATTCTAATACTGTCTTTTTTATAAGTGGCACATTTCCTATTTAATTGCACAATGAAATAAATATTATAAATCTAAATATAATAATAATATTAAAATCCAATAGGGATGTCAAGTGATTCTCAGAAATTAAATACAAAAGAAAATGCAAAAACATTTTTAAATATAACAAAATATTTCTATCCTCTTGTATCAGACAAATCTCACATTGTGCGCTCTTTGCATACGGGTTTACTAGAAAGAATGATACGCGGAGATACATTCATGACATATAACACGATGTGTTTAATACGTATATATAGAAAGAGAGTCGCTAAATGGCAGTAGGGAATAAAACAAACTAATACACTGCTGTTTTTTCCCTTTTCAGGCACCGGCAAAGCCATATACCTCCAATACTCTGATTTCAAAGTCACCACTGGCGCAGAGCGGGGGATTATTAAATGTCGAGCACCGATCCGTTTTGCCAAATCTTATATTCTCATCCATCCAAATCGCCTGACCATCTCTGTAATAAAATAATAATAAGTTGCTACATATTTCTTGAGATATTGTATAACATTACGATTAATATAAATTATCCTATATAAAATTTATTACTGCTTTAATTCGAAACAAAAAGATAAGAAAATTCTCTTTTTCATACTCTTCATTCTTTTTACGATATCTTTTTCATATAATTCAATTTTAATTTATATCAGAACTTACCCGCCACCAATAGTAATCATCTTTGAATCAGCAGCCATAAATAGTTCAGCTGAGTGATGTACTCTAGAGTCATTGTGCGACGAATCCATACCTACCCAAGGATATTTGGCTCGTTCAGGATACAAGCTGAACAGGAATGTCTCACCGGTACCGAAATATGCTTGTCTCTGACCCTTGTCATCCTTCAAGTTACGTTCGCACCATCTAGTAGAACAATAAGCTCCAAATACCTAAGAAGTACATACAAATTACATAAGGTCGCAAAATAATGTATGTGTATGTATGTGTGTGAATCTCGAAGTGTGCAAAATTAAATATTCAATTAAATATTCATTATATTTGAGTAACGAATATTCTCAATATTCTCTTTCGAGTCGCAACTTGTTGAAATTTTATAAAAATTATTTATAGATATTGTTATATATATAATCTTTAACATATGATAATGAAAAATGCAAATAATCAAACTATTGAAAGCAGGAAAGAAGATGTGGCATATTTATGTTTGTATAAGATAATCAGTCAGTTTACTAATATATTAAAAAAATATGATAAATACTTATTATACTTATTATACATAATACTCACCTCGTTATTACACGTTTTTATCATCAAAAGAGTCGGTTCGTGTTGCTCAACTCGCACATAGAACGTCGTCAAGGAGCATCCATGTTCTTCGGTTGTGTACAATAGAATAGGTTGATACATCGTGATCCTCATCGGTAGCCATGACCATAGAGTGAACAACTGAATAAATAAATTCAAACATTTACTTGGACGTAAAAGATGATTTTTATAATTGTGCAAACATTAGTTTCTAACGGCTCACTAATAATTTTAAAAAGAGCAAATTAAATTATGGTAAAACATGCGATTTATTGATAAACTAAATTGATTTAGAAATAGCTGTTTTATGGAAAAATACAGTATAATTTATAAATAATCATTGAAATTTTTATATTGATAAGAAAAATTTATCGCTTGTTTGATACACTTCTCTACAAGAAAATCAATAAAAAATTAATTAATGTTTTTCAAATTAAAAACATTTATCTTTTGGGATTTTTTTTGTTAATTTTTTTATTTTTATTTTTTCCTTATTTTATTTTTATTTCCTTTTTCTATTTTACTGTATTTTTTGCATAAAGAAGCAGTAAAATATCGAGATTTTCTTGTTGGCAATCCCTTAATTTTTTAGGCAATAATATTATAAAAAAGATTATAATTGTGATATAAATATATGTGTAATCTATTTGAAATATAAAATAGTTTTTTTTAAGATTTTTCATATATACATATTTGTAAAAAAATCTTTGTTTCTACTGGAATGACTAAAATAATATTTGTCATCCCGTTAGGGATTTATTATTTATAATTAATATAGCGATATACTAATTTATAATTAATCTAACATCATGAAATATTATTTTCTCATAAGTACTTACATATACACACATATATGTATATCTGCATAAAAAATATAAAATCAAAAATAATTAGGGCATTTCCTATTCATAACATCGCAAACATTTTCTCATAAAGGAACATTTAATTCTAGCAACAAAATGTGTTTTTATCTCGTTTTTGTGAGATATCAATAAAACATCAAGGAATAACGCTCGCGAAAGTAAACATCCGTATCTTTTTTGCAAATCAGTGCATATCATTCGTCATGCAACAATCAGGATAGCGTCAATTGGTTAGAGATAAAAATACAGATGGATATTAACGAGACATCAACATGAGTTCTTGTGCTAGCGATGATAAATGTATTCTTTCAGTTGCATTTTCTTTAATTTTCCTCCTTTCACTCTTTCTTCCTCCAATATAAGGAAACATTTAATTTTAAGAAACATGACAACATTTGATTTTAGGAATTATCTACTTTTTTCAGTTGAATCCACTTCAAAGATACCTCAACATGAAGATTTTAAGATTCCTTAGCGCAAAGTAACTCTTCATCAATCATTCACCCTATTTTAAAATGATCATAATTACATATTCTGTCTACAATCGTACAATATTTCGACACATTCTTAGATTCAACAAATTAAGATGTGACAGTTTTCTAATTCATAAGAAATAACAAGATTTGAAATAATGAATAAAACATAGAAATAATCTTTCAATATTATCACACAATTTAAATTTTTAAAATACATACAAAATTGACTCCTCTATATAAAATAATTTTTTGTACTCTTTCAAAAAAATTTAAATTTTGATTTAAATTTATTCTTGTATTTGATGCTGCACATTATTTTTCAGTTAAAAAATATTTGAAGAGTTCATTTTAAAGACTTTTGTTAAAATAGTTTCAGCAAATTTAAAAATTACCTCAAAATCAATTTGATGAAAGAAGTGAAATATAGAGATGCTTATCTTTAACATTATATTTAACAAATGCTTATTTTAACAGAATGTTATTTTAGAACTTTATTCATTATAAATGAAAGACAATATTAATGGATTGCTCCTATGTCTTATAACTTTAAATCTTGCCGTTTCTTTATAAGCTAAAAAAAACCTGTTAAATCTTGCTGTCAAGCTCTGTATATGTATATATATATATATATATATATATATATTTATTTTTAGACAATCGCAACGACACCAATGTAGACATGCCACAGGTAAACCTACGACTAGTGGACGGAGCTTCCGAATCTTAACTCAGTCGATGAAAGGACGACCGTGAGTACTTACATCAGGCATGTCTAGGATCTGGGAGCATATACTTTGTATGGGATAAACGCCCATTGATAGGGCGCGTGGTCCAGGACTGTGTGCGCCCTATACACCCGGTACCATTCGTAATCCATCATTCCAGTGAAGGCAGCACAACACAAGACAGCACAAACACGTCAGTTACATCGATGTACAGTGCTGAGCACTAATGATACCAGTGCGAGCTTTGCATATACCCACTGCACAAACGTTCCACGAATAATGGATTTCTTATTTTCGTAACATAAAGTTATTCAAAATAATCTGGGACGTAAATATTCAATTTACTCGATACAAACACTTGCATAGAATTTCAGGAATTTAATTGATTGATTCCTTTAGAATGATGTAAGGCTCTTGATCTTTCTACACTATAATCATATTTTACAACATCCAAAATAAAAACTCGCGTTTATTTTGCACTATACATCGAAATAAATTAGGTTTCTTGCATGCGCTACAACTTGTATTCGATAGAATTTACATTTATGAAGTGTGCCGAAGATTCTTCCTTTAGCTTGTAGATATAATAGACAATTGTAAACCTTGATGAATTATATTACAAAATTCATTTTTGCAGTTGATAGAATATAAATTTGAATTCAAAATTTTTCGAAAAAATGCTAAGAAATTTATAGTCGTGTAACAAAACAGAAAATTACATTTCAAAGTCTACAATAAGAGATCTACATTCAATTCCTAAATCAGCCAACGTTTTTTTCCTCTTTACAAATTATTCATTTGTATTGTCCTGTCTTAATCATTTTATTTCATCATCCTAATATAATATATATATTTTCACAAATAACAATTTATAAAATGATTAAATTAAAAATAAAATGATTAAATTTATGTTTGTAGCTAAAGTTATTCGATATAAATATCTCATTTTAAATTCCCTGCTGTATATAATTCAATAAAATCTATTTCACTTTTATTTTCTTGTATCAAACAGATTTGATTATTGTTTTATCATATCATATGATAAACATAAATTGTATTTCAATGTTTGAATATTTAAAGCTCCTGCTGCAGTGAATCAGTAGCAGCTTTAATAGGTACATATTGCTACATCGTGACCCCGTTTGTCCCAAATATCTCGAGATATTTCAGGCTTCTTTAAAAAGAAGTTCACAGATAAAATAGACGATATTGATTTCCAATATAATAAAAGAATTACCCTCAAGTACATCAAGATACAGAGGAAAAATCACTGAAAAATTGTTCGATATGGTAAGCTTAAAAACAATTTTCTCAAAGATATCAAAAAACTTTATTTTACAATTTTTAGTATGTATTTAAAATTGGCCTTTATGTCAGAATATTAATCTGAGTCCGAACCGCTTGAAGATCAACTAAAAAATGTAATTTCGATATCTGTTTCTGTTGTGTATGAGTAGAATTCTTTTTACATAAATATGAAGATACAGAGAGTGTAGGATATTATTTAGATGTCGATTTTCGAAGAACAATATGATGTGAATGTGAACAAAGTTATATCTAAGGAAAGCATTTTCCAAAAGTTGGTACAGTACCTGAATTGATATCATAAAATCACATTTAAAAAACAGGGTTATATAAGTTTATAACAGATAACACAATGTATATATATGAAAGGAGTAAAACTAATACTAAACGCTCGCCAAGCAAAGCTCGATTAAAATCATCAAAATCAATTAAAATAAAATCTGTTTTTATGTTTTAATATTTTTATTATATTCTTTTATT